TGGGGTTTTCTTAGCCCATGTTGCCCCGTCCACTAAGAAAATTGCAAAGTTGGGATCGAGAGAGAGTGTATACTGTAGGTTTTGCTTCCACGCCTCAAATGTTGTAATAGTTTCGTTTTTGGTAAAGGACCATTGTTTTGGATTGCGATTGCCGGCCATAATGTGTTTGACCGTAAGTGTAAACTCATAAACTATAAACAGCTATCGTGGAAACTGTCCCTGTTATGCGTTGTTTGCCGGGAATTCATTTACCTTGAATGTTTGGTTCGAGTGTAATCCTTGTCGCTGCCACCACGCCAATAATAAAGGAAAACTGTTAAACAGGATGAGAGTTTATACAAGTTTTGGCTCCAAAACATAAAACAATAATATGCAAAAATGATCTCCTAAAACAAAAGAGTTCCTCGTAGTTATTAAGTAAGTCGTACATAAAACACTGGCGCTATGTAAAACTTTGAACAGCTATGTTGGCCCCGGCCTACCCCCGGGGGTCATGATTTTAACAAACTTGAATCTACACTACCTGACAATGATTCCACATGAGTTTCATCTTTCTTGGCACAGTGGTTCTTGAGAAGAAGATTTTTAAAGATGTTTCCTATATACTCCCGTGTAAAACTTTGATCTGCCATTTTGGCCCCACCCTACCTCCGGGGGTCATTATTTGAACAAACTTGAATTTACACTACCTGACGATGATTCCACATGAGTTTCATCTTTCCTGGCCCAGTGGTTCTTGAAAAAAAGATTTTTTTAAAAATGCCATTAATTTTTCTCTTATTCATAATTATCTCCCCTTGGTAAAGGACGTGGCTCTTCATTTGAACAAACTTGAATCCCCTTTACCCAAGGATACTTTGTAGCAAGTTTAGTAGAAATCATCTTCGGCTCAGGTGAGCTAAAAAAAAATTGTTTGTAAATTGTTATCAGTTTGAATTTTACGACATGTTTAAGTACGAAAACCCATTTGGGGGAAAATGATTAGAAGAATTCATCCTTAAATAAGAGATATATAGCTAAGTATCAGAGGGCAGAAAATGGTATGGTCATGAGTCAAATAAAATATATACTAATCCGAATTTCCTCTGATCTATTTTTAATATTTTCCCTGAATTACATATATTGGCAATTATGGATATTAAAATCAATCAAAAGTAATCAATTATCAAGTTATTTAATCCAAACTGAATATAATACTAATCGTTTGAAGGAAAATTAATGTAAAATTTCAAGATTTTAAAATTTACATTCCGAATTTCCTATGTTTTTTTTTATATCTTAAACTTTTGAATTGATTCTTGGTGCGTTAAACAAATAACCCAATATCATGATATTAAATTTTCATGATTTGTTTTAAAGATGTAATTTGTATACCTAATTTAGAAAATAACACTGACATATTTACATAGTTCAGGTGAAAAAAAGTGCATATGAAACATTTGAATTTACTCTGACTTTTTAAAAATAACAAACCAATAATGTACAAGGTTTGCCTGAAATGAATTAAAAAAAATCCATCCACTGATCTTTCCCTATCATTTAAAATATATTGGAATATGGAACATAATGCTATACAGTGTACATTTAATTTCCTGTAAATTAATTAAGAATCTAATCAACGATTTACAATCCAGATTTCCCCTGCCTAAACACACACACACACAAAAGGAATTTTTTACATTTAAAAAAAAATCTAGAAAAAGGCGTGACAAAAATAACAATTCACTTGTATCAGTGCTAAACTTTAGAAAAGGATATAATGTACATGCATGCTGAAGGTCTGTTCACACAGAAGTGCTTAAAATCACAAATGTTTCTTCCCTTTTTTCCCCAACTTCAATCTTTTGACTTTCTGTGGCTTTCCATTGGTAAAATTCTGATGAACATGTAGGCCTTTCATAGTAGCTCAAGTATAAACACTTCAGTATTGTTGACATGTGGCCGAATTAATTACAGATGTGATTCTTAGTCGGAAAAAAAAAACAACAAAACTTTACTTCAGTTACGGCATTATTGACAAGTGGACACCGAATATACATGTAATCATGTAACATTTATTATAAAGTTACCTATTACTGACTGATTATTGGTATTGTAATCATAATAGTTCCACTGAAATAAAAATAGCATGATACCTACAAAATATTTACATTCCACATGTTTTTAACCTATAAAATGCGTAGAATTTGGGGCATTAAATACACCATTACATGGGCAGTGAGGTCAAAAGATAGAAAGTTTTTTTTTTTATTTTCATATGTATGTCACAAACCTTGAATGCCATGCAACGTCATAAAAGAAAATCAAAATTCACTCTCACATAGAAGAGTTTAACATATATGTGGTACATTTGGCATATTGGCTCTTCCATTGATTTTTAACTGACCCCAAGGATAATACAAAGGATTTTGAATCACACTTGCAGATGATGCAGGGAGTTTAAAATGTAAATACATGTATAATTCAGTGTCTGAAATAACCGTGCTCCCGACCGCCCCAGATGAACAAATTTTGTCAAGGGCGAACAGATTTGTACGTATTGACATCCGGCTTGACGTTTATAAATTTTCCTAAATTAAAATTCAGATATTTGATAAAACTCTCAAATCAAGTAATATTACTGGTTGCAAAGTGTAACAAGCAAACAGGTAGAATTCATATAGGCCTGTGATCAAATATGTAGTGAGCTGGCCCCATTTACATTACTGCTAAAACAAAACTTATGTCAGACAATTATTTTTTCGGACTTGTACATTTTTAGCAGGGTTCGGGCTAGTACATTTTGGCAGGGTGGACAACTTTCACTAGCAATCAGCCCTGCATGTCTAGCTAATTTTACAGTGAGTTTCGTGCAGTCTATATGCATAATATAAGGTTATGTTCGCCTGCTTTTTTTCGCCCTTTCACACTTGCATGCAAACAATTTTGCCCCATTCTAAATTCGCCCAGTAACAGATTGTTTAAGAAAATATACTGTATTTTTTGAATTCGTCCAACCGAAGTCAGGGCGAAAGGGGCGACAATAAAACGGGGCGAAAATTTCCCGGTTTACAGTAATACTGTATACAGGGAAATTTTCGCCCCCGTTTAATTTTCGCCCCTTTCGCCCTCTTCGGAAGTGGGCGAATTTAAAAAGGGGCGAATTAAAAGTAAACAGTATAATATCTTAAACAAATATCTTTCTGGGCGAATTTCAAACGGGGCAAACCTGTTTCCGAATGTGAAAGGGCGAAAATAACACAGGGCAAAAATAACCCTGTATACAGTATGTATATTTTATCAGTCTGACATGTACCATAATTATTTTAGCAAGTTTACGTTTAAAAATTTGAAAACTTTTATCAATTTAGAATTAAGATTTTTTCAAACCCAGCCAGATGGTTTCAGCACCACAGTTGTCTTTTAGTGCATCTGGATCAAAAGGATTATACTGCCAAGTGTTGACTCAGGTTGAACATTTTGACTGCTTATTGATTATTGGAAACTCCAGTCTGTTTCTTTGGCGATTATTAAAAACCTATCGAGATAACAAATCACTCATCTATCAGTATTCAACTTACATTTGAATTTTACAGACATTTCTTTATATTTTATAGACCTTCCTTATACATTACTTCCGAAAAAAAAACTTATAAATGGATGTGTTCTGTAAACAAGAATCAGGGTCCTCAATAATGTTTCATTAAATAAGAATAATATAATAAATGGTCAACTGTCTTTTCTTTTTTAACAAAAAGCCTTTTTATAATGTTATTTTACACTGCACATCACCTTATTATCATTATATCAAGTTTGTAGGTAAGACATAAACTCATATTTTTAAAATTATAAACATGGTACATGTACCTACTTTTTTCAGTCAATGACAAATGTGCATGATTTTTTGATATTTTCTCATTTGTGTGAATAAATTCAATATTGTTTAAAAACACAAGTACAAAATATCGTTCTCACGAGAATAAGAACTCACTGCATTTAAGGTGTCACTGACTCATTCCATGCACTGCTCATTGCAGTTATGTGAGATTTTTTTCCTTCATTTTCCAGATGAGACAAAGCGTACATTGATAAGATTATACATCTGCATTTAATCGATGAGCTAACCTTTCACAATGATGTAAATAAATTGCGTCTACTAAGAAGACATTACGTACTAAACATAGTGAACGTAACGTTTTGTTATACTTACTTGAAAATCATAGTGTACATTTTGATCTCTTGTCGTGCAGGTAGTACTTAGAAATGAAATCGCCTAGACAGTTGTTGTAAGGTACCAAACAGCATAGATCAGTATACTTCTTGCATACAAAAACAACCGAATAAAGTGTTCCTTCTTTGAAAATAAAAGAGATCGTCTCCCTGTCATCATGGTGTCGGAAAACGGCCAGGGAATTGTCGTAAATTCCTAATGTCGGAATAAGACTCTAAAAGCCAATGTTAAATAAATTTTATCAGAATTCTATTTAAAGTTACATTATTTGTCTATCAAATTGTTGCTTGTGATCCATTAAATTACTTTTATAACAAAATGAGACGTAATTATATGTATCACGACATCAGCAGTGATCAGCCTATTTTCAGCAGTTCGAGTTGCGCGGTAGATTTGATTTCGTAACATTCGAATCACCTTAACATGATATCGTTATTGTGTAGTCTTTTTAGATATGAGCTCTTGTTTATGCATGATTTAGGTAGCGACTACTTTTGCTCAATTCAAATAAAGCCTCTAAGGATATGACCATAACTATTTCACAGAATCAAATCGCTGGAGAAAGAGCTTATTCTAAAGCAATATGAGTCACAATTAAACAAAGTTATCCAGATGAAAAATCAAGTTTAAACAATATATTCAGAAGCACGTATGAAAAAATGTAATCATGAACCATGTCACTTGTATAGAAGATGTGAACTCAAATGATATTATTTACTTGCTAAATGCATTGTCTTCTTCATTTCTTTATATCAATTCAAATATGAACTTGGATATTTATTCTACTTACCTTTTGATTTCTTTTTGAATTTTTTCAAACTGCCTAAAACAGAATACAATTCATTTATTTACCAAATTAATAAATGAGTGAAGTATTTTAGATAATGCATTGCAAAACCTTTTCAGTCAGATGATATATAACGGTAAAAGATATAGTGATTAACAGTAAAAACAAACATTCTTAGAGTATAGAATTAGCTATACTATAGTCCCCCTAAATATAAGTTAAGGAGAAAGTCCGAAAAATGTCCATTACTGTATAGGGGGAAAATAACTCGCGGTGTTAATATTCGCTATATTCACGGCGTTGATGAATCCGTGAATTCAAGAAACAGTGAATAAGTTTTCAATATGTATAGATAAGGGAGGAAACTTTTCTTACATACCAATTCCGCGAATTCAAGAAACCGCGAAAGCGTCAGAGAAGAGAAAAACGTGAAAATTACAACCCGTGAAATTAATCCCCTATACAGTATGTGAGAGAATTCGAAAGAACTGTTCAAAGCCCGACCCGAAAGTATTGTTTAACCTCATGGACAGTGCCAGGTAAAATTAGAATTAAATGATAGCTCACTTGATTTCTGCGTACATCCCTTGTAAAGCTTCATGAATGAAGATGTCCTTATCGGATGTTGAAAGTAATACATATTTCTCCAAAATAAAGGCCAACGCGTGGTAAATTCTCTAAAGTAGGCACAAGCAGAAACATGCAGGCATGCAGATTTTGAAGTTGGTGTTCAAGTTGTAATCATACAAAAAATATACTGCGGCAAGTTATAGGACAGAGAACATTCAAAAATGATTGATTGTATATTGTTTAACGTCCCTCTCGAGATTTTTTCACTCATATGGAGACGCCACCACTTGCCGGTGGAGAGCAGCAAATTTTACTATACTCGGCACTCAGGGCCATTGAGCAGGGAGGGATCCTTTCGTGCCAACACCTACTGCGACACAGGACCTCGGTTTATACGGTCTCATCCGAAGGACCGGTCTCCACGTCCCACAGTTGGATTCAAACTCGCGAAGTAAGGATCAACTCCTTACTTCGCGACTCTAGAGCAGACGCTCTAACCACTGCGCCACGCAGGCGATTCCCATGATATGAATTCAATGCTTAAATATACATAAATATATAATCATTCAAACCACTTTCAAGTTCCTCAGGAACATAGCTTTAAATTACTACTTTACGAGAATATTTTTAATTTTTCTTGTATTTTAGTCATTTATTGAAGAGGTGACCCTCAATTCCATTTAAATGAACATGAACCCCTGTCACCAATATTTTTAGGTGGCATGTTTTGTTGAAATTTATCAACACATTCTTAAGCATAAGTCAAAACCGATAACGACAACAGAATGAACATGAAAATTGCAATAACAAACTTTTTACTGAAAAGCTTCAATTAATTTTCAGCTCAAGTGAGCCAACTAAAAAAATTCTCACGATTTGTTGCCAGGAGAGTTCTTTCCAAGCGCTCGACTTTCTCTGCATAAATAAAAAAAATGTTGTTAATGTCATATACATGGTTTAAAGACCAACAACACAAACCGTTTTTCTTTTAAAACACAAGCAATAATTGCGGTATTATTTATCATGATTAATGTTGATCTTTTCACAAAAACAAGAGATCTGGCAGATATACCTTATAATGGGCTCCTAATGGCTCGCCTGAGGAAATGATGACATCATAATTTACCATGGAAACGAATATGCCCTTTTTAAAGAAAGGGGTGGTTCGTTTCGCTTGTTTCATATGATGCAATCGGCTCCTTAGAGGATACATGTACTAAAAGGACAAGATAGGGTAGCGGCCGAATCTGGTCCCTTATTTGAGATACTTTTCTCTTGTGAAAACAAAGCACAAACTTGCCTACCTGAGATTTTTACACATTAACTGCATTTGATATTTTTTGTATAAGATATATAAATTTGCTAGATAGGCAAGCTTTTGCTCCATGTTTTCCGAAACAAAATACGCTGTAAAATCGATGCAAATTTGCATTAAAATGAAAAAATTCGAAATTTGACCTATTTATTTCACCTCACTGTGACCTCTGTATATATTCTAAATCTTAGAACCAATACTCATTTTGTGGCAGGGGTGACAATAGCTTTTTATTGATTAACTCCTGGATCATTTTGATAGACACCCAAATTGGGGTCCAAATACTGGTCTTACTCTATCTTGTCCTTTGGTTTTTACACAAAAATTATATTAAAACTGAAATACCTTGCATTTCATCTTTATGTTTCTTGAAATCATCTGAAAATTAAATTCACATGCTTTAAAATTTTTTACTTGCATAACAATGTAAAACGCCAAATGAAACTATCTTGGTCTTATAAATCATTGAACATAAAAAAAAAACCCAGAAGAATGTTTATGAATTTATAACTATAAACGGTCTTTTTTTTTTTTTTTTAAAAATGGGACTTATGGAAGAAAATGTTTGAACCCAGTCGACATGGTTTTTTTTGGTTACAATTTCGATTTTCCAAAATTGATGAAAATTAATGAAGAATTAAATGTCAAAATAAAAAATAAGAAATTGATTTATCACCAAGTATATGTGTCTGAGAGAGACAATATACATGAGTCTTACATGTACTACAGCAAGATCAAATACATAATTTGTATAAAATTGTGTAATGTTGTAAATTTATTATATCTTCTTGATTTTCAGATGGCATATTTTGAGTACAGTGTTTTTCTGTCCGTCTTGTATATACACAGTAGATTATTTTTTTAAAAAATCGCTGAAATTCGAGTTTTTAAAAATCACATTTCAAAGAACATTTAAACCAAAAAAAAAAAAAAAATAAAATAAAAAGGATTGACGCATTTCATATTTGATTCCATGGGTGCGTCGGTTCAAATTCCTGCAGGTGAAAAAATAATATAAGTTAAGCAATGAAAATAAGGAGTTATTACTTTCATCCCTCAACAATTCTATTCAAGGTTACTAATCTGATTCAAAAGTTCAAAAAGTTGTCTTACTCAAAAGACTTACCTTGTGATTTCTGAAATTTGCCTATAAAACAAAATGAAATATTATTAATTCGATTTCTAATCTTCTTGACATAACTTCTCCGAAGATCTCCTTATAACAAAATATATATAATCTTTGACTTTAACATTAAAACAAGAAGTATCTGATGAGACAGTAGCTCTACTGGTCTGTATTAATAAAAAAAAAGAAAAGTGTCACTTGGAATTGAATTTTGCAACAGGCAACAAAAAATGAAAAGAATTACATGTATGTTCCTTAGTGTTGTCTACTCATGTGTCGATTTATGCTGAAATCAAACCAAAACTGTAGGAGGAGAAGGGTATTGAAAGTATTTCTATGAATTTTTTTTTTACTAAACACGATAACATTTTTTTTTACTAAACACGATAAAATCAATCACAGAAATCAAATACTGATATGCTAAATTATGTGCCATAGTGTAGTTCTTCCTTTTTTGCGAAGTTAAAAAAGTGTAGGAAGAGTAGTGTTTTAAGATATTTCACAGAAACCTCTTTTTAGTTACCATGGCAACACCGTTCATCGAACTCAAAAAGCGTTGCACTGAATTATATATCTTAGTCTAGTTTACTTGTGTGCCATGTTATATTGAAATCAGCCCAAAGGTGTAGGAGGGATAGCATTTTGAAAAATTGTTAACAGAAAGACAGACAGATAGCTAAACAGACGGACGGACAGATAGATGGACAGACGACGGATACCTTACCATCGCAAAAGCTATCATGGCCCCAGGATCATGAAACAAACTTAGACTTTAAATAGTGTTAGTCAAATTTTCTATTGCCTATAAAATATTCATTAATTGAAGAATTTATTTAGAAATTTGCAGATAACAAAACTTTTGAGAAGCAATATTGAAAAATATTTTAATTTTGTTCTCGTCGATCTTTACAACATTTTTAAAATAATAAAATAATGATTCATAAAATGAAAATTCATAGACATTTTTGTAAGCATTTTCAATTAATCAATGCTTCATTTTCAGAACATGAGGATCGAAGTACCTTAAGATACATGTATTTCTTGATCCCGGGACCAAGTCTCTGACCAGTAAAATTAAAAATGAATAACTTAATTAATGTCTTTTATATTATTGATTAATTAAGAAAGAGATGATTAAAATATGATCTGTTGTTGGCACATTCGAATCAAGGGTTCATGATTACAATAAACAGTTTCTGTAAACCAAATATTTTTCGCGACAACCTTCATTCGCAATTTTTCAGGATTTAATCTGCGACTTAGTTTTCCGCGATCGTTACAAACAACGTCAGCGTGTTTGTCGGTTTCCATTGAGCATTATATATCTCCTCAAGGCTCAAACCAATTTTTTTCTTCGAAGAATAATATTAAGCAATAATTTGGAATATGAAACTGTGTAACAGTTTTAAATAACATGAAGCCCAGGGCAACATCGCTCACGTGAGTACTGTGGCTAGGGAAAAAGCATAAATCAGTTAACCCGCGTTTAGTATTAAAATATTAAATGCATGAGTGGTCCCGACTTATCCTAAAAGGCAGAAGGTGTATGGGGGAGTGGGTACAATTTGAACAAATTGAATCTACACTATCTGAAGATGATTCCAAATAAAATGACAAATCATGGCTTTCTTGAGAAGATATTTGAAGTTCTTTCCTATATACATGTATATACTCCTATGCTAAACTTTCATCATCCATTATGGCCCCACCCCTCCTCCTGGGGTCTTATTTTAAACAAACTTGAATCTACACGACCTGAGGATGGTTCCATATAAATATGATCAACCATGGCTTTGGTGTTTTTGAAAAGAAATTTTTAAATCCCTATATATTCCTATGTAAACCTTTGATCGTCCATTGTGGCCCAAACCCTCTCCCTGTGTGTCATAATTTTGTACAAACTTGAATTCGAATCTACACGACATGCAGATGCTTCCTTACAATAATGAATTCAAAAATGACTTCACTGTTCTTGAGAACAAAACTTTTAAAATATTTTTTTCCATAAACTCCTATGTAAAATTTTGATCATCTATTATGGCCCAACCCTACCCTCGGGGTCATAATTTGAACAAAGTTGAATGCACACCACCTGAGGATGTTTTCATATAAATATCACCAATCATTGCTTTGCTGTTCTTGAGAAGAAGGTTTTCAAAGATTTTTCTGTATATTCCTTTGTAAAACTTTAATCAGCCATTGTGGCCCCACCCTACCTCTGGGGTCATATTTTAAATAAACTTGAATCTTCACTACCTGAGGGTGCTTCTATATTAATATTGCAAATCATGGCTTTGCAGATTTTGTGAAGATTGTTAACGATTTTTTCTATATATATTTAATTGTAAAAATTTGATCAGCTATTGTTGCCCGCCCCTACCATCGTTAGTCATGATTGGAACAAACTTGAATCTACACCATCTTAGGATGCTTCCATATAAATATAACTACATTGTAATTGTGGCTTTTCTGAGAAGATTTTTAGCTATATATTCCTATGTAAAATTTTGATAAGAAATCGTGGCCCCGCCTTTCCCCCGTGGGTCATAATTTGAAGAAACTTGAATATGTACTACCTCAGGATAATTCCTCATGAATTTCATCTTTCCTGGCCCTAGTGGTTCTCGAGAGATAATTTTTAAAAGATGCCATTAATTTTTCGCTAATTCATAATTAACTCCCCTTGGAAAAGGGCATGGACCTTCATTTAAACAAGTTGATTCCCCTTCACCCAAGGATACTTTGTGGCACTATTTGTTGAAATTGGCCAAGTGGTTCTTGAGAAGAAGATGAAGAGGTGACAAGTTTACAACAACGACGACAACAACAAGGACGACGACAACGACGACACACAACAGACAAAGTTTGATATAAAAAAAAAAGCTCACTTGAGCCTTTGGCTCAGGTGAGATAAAAACGTCTAGGATTTGTATCGTTTTCTACTTCATTTTTTTTAAAGGAAATATTACTACACACATTAATTAGTAAATTGTTTGTAAATTACTAATTTTATGCCCACTCCATGATCTGATTTTTGCAGCTTCTAGATTAGTTTGAAATAAATCATGATAATTTTGAATTTTTTTTAACAAATATCATTTATATTTTTTGTTAAGATATTTATATCAAATTTGGATACATGACATTTGTTCAATAGAAAAAGATTCCACAAAAGTCCACGAACTTTCCAACTCTCATATTAGACATTTCCAGATTTCGCAATCTCGAGACCGTACTCGTACATTGACTCTGACAGTTGTTTCAAAATTTTTAAGGGGCGTGTCAAAATTTGATTTACTTACAAACAACAAAAACACTGTTTCCTAGAAAAAGCAACGTATTATGTAGCATCTGAAGTCATATATGGCGTATTTTTCATAATTTCAGACTAACTAAAATTAAAATGATCTTTCTCTTTGTTTTGTTACTTTATATAAAGATAGGACTTACCTGTAAATAACACAATAATTTTATTTAAATCAATCGCATTACATAGAAATCCGAGATTTAAAACAATATTTCCAAAACAGTTTAATGTCAATTTAACCTACATGTATAGAAATATGGGGATGATATTTGGGTTCAAAATCGGTGATTTTATTTTGAATTTAGATAGCAAATATTTTCTTAATCTTTGTTTAATCTCGGGTTTTCCTTTTTTAGTTCAGATACGCCATACTTAGTACATGTATATAGCGTTATAACCTTTTTAAAAACTTTTTATACGGCCCCTTATAGATCGAAGTACAGAGTAAGAGTCCGAGCTCGTGGCGCTTATTGCTGGAAATGTCTTTTACATGGAAATGTACGATTTTCAAAGTTGTTAGAACATGTAACCAATCCCTTTCTTATAATTATACATTTGATAATGATACAAAAAAGTTTAAAACGAAAACAAAACTGAATAAGTAAAAGGGCGACAAACACTTGACTTTGATCAGAAAACGTTCTCTGGGAATTTTAGCTTATATGGGATAAAAAAAAGACAAATAATATTTCTTACGCTTTGTTGTATTTGTTGAACTTTCAAGGTTTTCAATTTTCTCTGCAGTAATAAATAATAATTCGATTAAATATTAAAATTAGCACTTATTATTCAAATTACAACATTACAACATATCAGTAGCAATTGTATTCTTAACATAAATATAAACAAAAAATATTTGGATAAATACTTATAAGTTTATGTATAATAAGTATTTCATATTCAATTATCATTCCTTATCTTCATATTTATGTGTGTATAAACAAGTAATTAGACATACCTTGTTTTGTATGCATGTTTTCTGTCAAAAAAAGAAATAGATTCAAGTAAATAGATAAGCATCGATAAGCCAAAAAGATCTATTAATTTTCACTTTAGTTCTTCATGCTCTGACAATTACCTTGTATTTTCCTGAATTCCGCGGCATACCATTTTGATCTGGTGGGATTAAGATCACATGAAAATAAGTCGTTTACGCCCCTTTCATACATGTCCCCACCAATCATCTGTTTTTCAATGTGTATGATGGCGTCTTTGAGTTCTTCCCAGTGTTTTTTAAACTCTGTGTCATTCATAGCACCAATTATAGAATGACCAGATACTAAATTTCTCTCGATACGAATCCTTTCTATGCAGGCTGATAATCTCATATCGCCAGTTAGGGGAGTATTTCCCCATCCAGCTTTATGCTTTGGTATGTTACAAATATTCCTTAAAATAATATATAATACTGAGATGTCCAGGTCTTTGGCAGACAAAGCGGTGCAACCGGACGCTGGATAGATCTGTTCTTTCTGCTGAGTATTCATTATTCTCTCCAGTTTCCCTCTATTGTTGTCCAACTCTAACCTAAGGTCAGAAGGTTTGATGTGGCGACTTAGAATGTCCCTGAATAAGTCGCTGCATATTGTCATAATCAGCTGACAAACACGGAAGTAATTTTCTGTTGCCTTCTTCTGGCAGAAGTAAGGAGCTGAGGACGGTCCAGAGGTGTTCAACATTGTTCTCAGACTTTGTCTTCAATTTTGATTTAAAAAAAATATAAACATGTATCTAAGCTGTGTTTAAAAGTTTTTTGTCTGAATTTATGATTTATATTAAATTTAAATACAAAGTAATATTTAAGGAATCACTGTTTAGTTTTGAGAGTATGCCAGGGCATCAACAATAGTAGGAAACATTCGCCCGTTATGCTAAAATTATCCCATGTTTTCTCACTATTGTTGATGTCCCTGGCATACTCTCAAAACTAGACAGTGATTCCTTATATTTCCATTTTTACTTGAAATAACAATCTTAAAATAAAATCGAAATACCGTCTAATTTAGTGGATTTGAAATGCACGAGGCATTCCATGTTATTTTCCCGCCCCATGACGTCAAATTTTACTATAAAAAATAGTCCCATACAAACACGAAACAATTCTAATGATTATTTAGTTATACTGCAGTCAAATATCAATATTTATAAAATAAACAACAAAAGAAGTTTATATTACGATCATAGCAATCTTGCTAACTTTAATTATATATGTGACCTAGATTTAGGTTGTCGGAGACACGAACAAGTGTATAGGCCCCAGGCCACTTCTCCGCCGCCATATTGAATGCAATGTTGCAGTTAATGAAACGGGAGTTGGTCAGCATGGTCAGGAAACAGAATTGTGTATGTTAAAATAACAGAGAACGTTGAATTGCGTAAGAAGTTGGATGGTAATGACTGAGGGACGATGTCTGTATCGGATGATCTATGTGGCAATGCGGATTTCTCCACGTGGTTTAGATGGACTGCTTACCATGTTTACGGAAGTGAAGTTCTCGGTTTCGCAAGGTCTCAGCGATAATGGACAACGTTGCCTAGTGAATTGCTTTTGATCCGAAGATAATTCATTATTTATTTTGTTTGAAAAAAGATATATCATATCTAATTACTTAGTAAACAATTAAACAAAACATCTTTTTTTCTTCAGTGTAATTATACGCCACTAATATACATGCAAGTTTGACGTTTGACCTTTCAGTAGTAGCTCAATAGAGAAATTTACATGTCACAAGAATCACGGTGAAATTATCAAGATTCGCTTTTGTAGTGTTTATCATAGGGACAACAATTGAAATGGAAATATAAAGTAATATAATAAAGTGTACTCTCTACCTTAAAAGTTAGGGATCATGATCATCAAATTCTGTGATAACTTTATTTAACATCCCAACTTCATTGATCAAATGACTGACTATTTTAGTTTTCAATTTTAAATTACCAGTTGACAGGGAGTGGGGGATGTGAATCAAGTTATTTCATTTGTTTCATTTCGAATCTCAATTGCAAGATGCCTTACACAGCTACATTGTAATTTTGCCAATTACGTATAACGTTTGGTTGCACATAACATATGTTACACGTATGTAAACTTACGTAACACATACATGTGTCCCAAACGAAGTCGGACTATAACAAACTCGGACTACCGTATATATCTGTTTAGTAATTACAGATCCCTGCACGATGAATATGAAATTACATTTTGTAATTTGTATTTTGCTGGATATATTAAGCTGAAGACTATAGATATGTATGTTATTCCAATTAAAACAATTTTAAAAGACTTTTCTTTTTTTAGTTTTTATCCATTTTACAGTTTAAAGTATATGTCGTAGAATACGCCTTCTGAGAAAATGTATGTACCTGTCATGTTATTTTCCTATTTTCTTATTACAATGTTAATATATTAGTAGATAAATTACTTTAAGAGAATATTTGGACGCAAAAAAAGTAACTTAATTTAACAACAACCCCCCACCCCCAACCAACCAACAATCAATCTTACGTCTCTGTTAATATTAAATCATTCATTTTATCATTGTGGTTTTCTTTACATTTACTTACCGCTATAAGTAAATTTGTCAACCACATTTAACACGGACGTTAATGAACGCATGGTTTATTATTATATATGTTTTAAACAGCACAAATTTCATGTGCGTTAAAGGCATAGTTTACGTGTATGTAAACCACAAATAACATGAAAATTAATAAATTATAGTTAACGTGTATTGTAAAGCTCACATTACATGTACGTGTATGATTTTAAAACAGAGATACCTGATGATTCAATTTTTACTCAAGTCCTAGAGGGGCTTGAGATATCTTAAACGATGCTAGGTCATCGATTTAGTCAGTTTTAAAACACGAAAATATATTATTTTGGTGGATGAAAATATTTCTAGAAACAAAAATGACGCTTATCTTGAAAACGTTTATATATTCATAGATATAAAGTGTTAAATGTTGGATTCTATTCTATGACGAATGAACAATGAGTGAAGCTTTGCAGCCGCAACAATTTCTATACAGAGATTTCGCGCTTTCATTTGCGTAGAAATCTCAGGTAACGACTGGTGACTCTGAAAGGTGACCCAGGTAACCCCATCGTAAACAAGTGCATGGTCATAAAATGTATGGCTACCCCCCCCCCCCCCACCTGATATTGCTTCTCACTTGCCTGCAAATGATGTGTACTTTGAGTCACAGTAAAATAATTGCACAAGATAAATTAATTTTAAATTCTCCCTGATACATTTGTTTTTTAAATTCTAAAAAATAGTATTAGCTTCAGTTTGGTAATGGAACCTATATAACTTCTTTTGGATAAATCTTACGAAATATATATTGGGCATGCCAAATGAATTCGTAGTCACATGGATTATTTGGAGCCCCCCCCCCCCCCCTTGAAAAAAAAACTTTTCTACAGGCTTGTAACAAGCTATTTGGATTGATGTATACTAAATGTTGTCATAGGCGTCGGAAGCATACTGAAAGTGGGGGGGGGGGCTAATTGAAAGGAGGGGGAACAAACCAACAAAAAATCGTAAACCCCAATTTTCAATGCCTAAATTTTTTCTATCTTTGCAAAAAAGCCCCCCCCCCCCCCCGGTTCCGACGCCTATAGTTGTGATGTACGTCATTAGGCAAAAAAGTACAAAAACTCATACAGTTTGAAAATCAAATTTTTACATAAAAAAATATTTCGTTAAATTAAGATATGGCAACTATCCTCTATGAAATATTCCTAAAAGTGTAACGTAAATTCATCTTAAAAAGTAGTACGATTAATTATATTTATTCTAGTTAAATTCAATATATGAATTTTGTTTCATGTACATGTATTTTATTCAACAGAAGATTTAACTCAATAGCCCTCATCTTATACCATTTTAGGATATTACATGTAATGACACTTCTACAGCTTGAGTATCTCTGTCGTTTTGTCAGTATATACTTGTTTTCTCTCAGCAAAAGTTTTTGAAGATGCTGCTTCACCGGAAGCGAAAGTGATTACATAATTATGCTAAATATCAACAAGAGGCCCATGGGCCACATCGCTCACCTGAGAGGCTTTGACCATTCTTTTCTTTACCATATTTCCCCCTTGTAATACATATTGCGACCCATCCCTACCCCACTGATCATAATTTAGACATTTTAAAATTTACATTACCCCAGGATCCTTCTATGTGCACATAAGTTTCAGCTTTTCTGGTCCAGTGGTTCTTGAGAAGATTTTCAAGGATTTTCCTATATATTTCTATGTAAAACTTTGATTCCCCGTTGTGGCACCAACCTACCCCCGGGGATCGTGATTGGAAAAATTTATCATCTATACTACCCCAGGATGCTTCCATATAAGTTTCAGCTTTCCTGGCACAGTGGTTCTTGAGAAGAAGATTTTTAAAGAATTTTCCTATATCTTTCTATGTAAAACTTAAGTCGGCCATTATGGCCCCGCCCTACCCCCAGGGGTCATGATTTGAACAAACTTGAATCTACACTACCTGAGGATGCTTCCATATAAGTTTCAGCTTTTCTGGCACAGTGGTTCTTGAGAAGAAGATTTTTAAAGAATTTTCCTATATCTTTCTACGTAAAATATTAACCGGTCATTGTGGCCCCGCCCTATCCCCGGGGGTCATGATTTGAACAAACTTGAATCTACACTACCTGAGGATGCTTCCATATAAGTTTCAGCTTTCCTGGCACAGTGGTTCTTGAGAAGAACATTTTTTTAGCCTTCGGCTCAGGTGAGCTAAAAACGTATTCCTATTACCATATTCTAAAGTAAGAAATATTATTAAAAATTTGACCAAATGTTATATGTCATAAGGTAATTCGTTTAGGCATTTTTTTTTTGGCCAGTTAAGTCTCTCTCTCTCTCTCTCTCTCTCTCTCTCTCACCTGCATCGTGATAAAATAAAAAAAAAATACCTTCTTGTTATCGTTTTCCCTTATGATGGTATTTGGGAAAACCGAACTTTCGGTTTGTACAGTGTGTATAATGCGGCACGGTGTAATTCATGGACTGGAATTTGGTGTGGAGTTCGGATTTGAGTTTGGAGCCAATTTTTGGAGTCAAGCCAAATAGCGTTTGTTAAAGCCAAATTGCGTTTGTTAATAGAAATAGAGTTCAGAAGAAACTAGTTTATTTTCACCTAAAGCATAAACATTAAAGGAACACACATCTGTTTTCTGTTTGTCTCTAGATAACACCTTATCTTGAACTGTGAGATGTATAAAAATATTAATATGTAGTCAAGACAATCATGACATAACCTTTGATCATTTTTTAAAATTATAATATTTCTTACTTTTATATATGGTAATATTTGAAGCATGAGGAATACTTTTTGATATTTAGCATTTGTAAATCACTTCCGCTTCCGGTGAAGCAACATCTTCAAAAAATTTTGCTGAGAGAAAAAATTGAATAATCAGGTATCATCTTTTAAAAACAAAACGTTATTTATGTCGATCCTGTTTTAAGTATAGTTTGATATTGGATGCTGGATAATTGCGCTGGATATTGAATATTGAACAGTCATGGCAATATCAAATATGATGACACGCATCCACAAATTTTCGTCAAAAGTAGACTGTCTTACAGGAGACGACGTCGATAATGTTGTGAACTCAAACGACAATTGCAATACAATGATGCAAAGATATATATGTGACAGTAAGATAAATAACAGTACCTTCAAAATTGAAGCTGAAAATATCGATATTTGGAAACACGAACTTGTTAAAAAACAATCGATTGGTTAAAGTCAAGTATGATGACAAAAACTGTGAAATCCAGCTTTTATAATACAGGGAGTGTCAATATACAAGGAGCGACATCTCAAGTTTCTACGATACTTATTTCTCAAAATTAGATCTATCTCTCTCTCTCTCTCTCTCTCTCTCTCTTACATGCATCGTGAAAATAAAAAAAAGATTACCTTCTTGTTGGTTTTTTTACGATTGATTTTTATTTGGAAAACCCGAACTTTCGGTTTGTAAAATGTATGGAAAAACCCCTACATAAACAAATACATGGGCGCAGATATTTTGGACACCCAAAGTTGTGCGGAGGAGAAAATGCTAGCTGGCGCGTGATTGGTCAATAAGAGAAAAGACTGGTTATGTATTTGACAAGTGAAATAAAGTTGATAAAAATCTCATATCAAGACTTGGGTTTCTTTGAGGTATATAGGAGTTACAGGTAAAAATTTGAAGGGAGGGATGCACTTTGGTTAGAGATTTTCATTTGGTGTCAAACGCACCTAGTTGTAAACAAATGGAAATTGAAAGTAAAAGTGCAACGGCACGGTATATTTTTTCTGGCATTTTTTGTTTTCCAATATCTCGAACTTTCACGACAAAAAGGTCATTTGCCCGAAATTCAATATATGTATCAGTGAGAGGGGCTAAAGTTTGTATGGAAGTCTATGGGAAAACATTTGGTGGTGTTTGCCCTATAGAAAAGGTATGATTTCATGGTTAAAAATTGATTACAGCCAAAAAATCAATCGGTTCCTATTTTTTTTGGCATTGAGATTATATTTTAGTTAGTTTTGACTATTTGTTTAAAAATTAGAGGGTTTGGGTAAATTGAGGCTCACAATGGGGACAGCACATAGTGAAAAAATGCCAAAATTTGTGCCCTAGCTCTCATATTTTCGATAAATGTACACGTAAATAACTTTAAATAAATATTTATACCGAAATTTACTGTGAATATTGTAAATAATGCAATATCAATATTTATGGGCATCATCAATACACAAAACATATGAATATCCCCCTCGCAGTTTGAGAAATTTATTTAAATCCATGTATTTTATGAGTGTAGACATTGGAACAGATTGATTAATCTTCTTTCAAATTTGTGTTAATCAGAGTTGATTGAATAATTTATAACAAGATTTGACTGCTATTTACTAATTAGGTTACTTTGTTTTTACATAAGGGGCATAATCCAGCAGCAAAGCCAGTTTCAGTCATGTAATCAGTGCTGGCTTGAAATAAAAGTTATACTTTTGGTGAAACTTAGAGATTACTAGTAGGAAATTTAATTTAAATTACAGTACAATATATTTTTGCAGAAAATACATTGAAAATGCAATAAATATGCAAAATTATAACTGAAAAAATTATGAAAAAGGTATCTGAATATCCCTCCACCTTGCCATATCCAATCTTGATATTCTGCTGAAAAGGGGGGGGGGGTAATTTTGTGCTCTAATCATGCTGTAAAATGAGGGAAATTTGTTAAAATCTGGTTTATTTGAATAACAAGAGTCATGCTTATCTGCAGTTATTTTTTTTTTTCAATTTCTTTTTTATTTTTTAAAATAATTATCTGAGTAAATTCTACTTTAACATGATTATTTTAAAGGTATTACATCACAAATGCTTAAAAAAAATTCAAAAGATGGTGTTAAAAATAAAAAATTATGATATAAGCTACTAGATGCATTTATCAGTATGTTTTAATACAATAAAATGTATTTCAGCGATGCATTCTCAAGAAGGAAGACATTAATGAACCCTACCCTCTTACAATGAACAACACATGGATACTCTCGGGATGATCCCTTTGCTTTCATTAAGAGTTCCAAGGTATTGTTTTCTTAGAAAATCTAGTTAATCTCTTAATATTTAAGTTATTTAGAACTTTTTATAGATTATTAGAAAATAAATTTCCTCAGAACTGCAGTTTTTTAAGCACTTTGCTTACAATTGAGCACTTTATTCAGTCAGACAATATGATTTATCTGCCCTTGGCATTTATTCAATTTATTAATTAGGTCAATAATAAGAAATGATATGCAAATAAATATATTTGCCTTTTATGAGAATATACATATTTAACATCAAATACATGAAATGTTCATGAAAATTGGCTAAAATGTAGGTCACCCCCCTTCAAAATTACAAATTTTTCAGTGGGGATGTATTTGATTCTCTGATGCCAGCAACCCACTGCTGATAGAATTTTTTTTCAATCTTATGTACATTTGAACTAGATATAATTCTCTATTCTTTCCATTGATTATTTTATCTATATTAGTTTTCACTCTTTCCATAACCCAGCTTTTCTTACAAAAACCTGCTGATTTTCTTCATTTTTCATTGATAACGGGTACCTGCTACCCTGAATGATTAACATGATCTTCCTTGAGAAATTATTAGAGATAATAAGAAAGACAAGCAAAACATATGCTAGATTAATCATTTTATTTCAAAAGTTTGAAAGAAAAATAGAAAAATGCTTCAATTTATAGACATCTTTTCTGTTTCACAGATGTGGGTCTGATTGACTGGGGTGTGAAATGTAACAGCCAATGGTGTACTTAAGGTAAGACTGTCAGTCCTAATATTCAAGAGGTCAGATAAGCAATGGATATGTGTTCTAAATTTACTAAATTGACCACTTTTAACAAATGTTTCTTTTACTCTATAGGAAAAACCCCTACATAAACAAATACATGGGCGCAGACATTTTGGACACCCAAAGTTGTGCGGAGGAGAAAATGCTAGCTGGCGCGTGATTGGTCAATAAGAGAAAAGACTGGTTATGTATTTGACAAGTGAAATAAAGTTGATAAAAATCTCATATCAAGACTTGGGTTTCTTTGAGGTATATAGGAGTTACAGGTAAAAATTTGAAGGGAGGGATGCACTTTGGTTAGAGATTTTCATTTGGTGTCAAACGCACCTAGTTGTAAACAAATGGAAATTGAAAGTAAAAGTGCAACGGCACGGTATATTTTTTCTGGCATTTTTTGTTTTCCAATATCTCGAACTTTCACGACAAAAAGGTCATTTGCCCGAAATTCAATATATGTATCAGTGAGAGGGGCTAAAGTTTGTATGGAAGTCTATGGGAAAACATTTGGTGGTGTTTGCCCGTATGTGCAATGCACTAAAAATCATAGGTAAAAGTGTCTAACCTGGCTCGGGTTAAAAATCTAAGTGGAGTGGAATCGAGACAAGGAGTTGAATCTCTTTTGAGTCAATAGAAAATTTTTTATTTTTTTAAATACAATTTCTCCTTTACAACATCGATCATTACAAACTGGTGCTGCTTTAAAAACTAGTGTCATTTGAGTGTGACTACGTAAGGGGATTGCTGAATTCTTCTTACAACAAAGAATAAGTACCAGGGTAATATTATCCCCCCTCGCTAGGTATGAAATTTACTAACCAGGTATCAACCCTAAAAACTAATTTTTAAACTAAGTAACTAATATTACCCATCTCGTATCGGGAAAATGATAACTATCGGCGACGAAGACCTGTTCTTGTTTCAAAGAAATCTCTTCGAACGCTGTAAATTTTCTATCTAGATACGAGGGGCGTTCAATAAATAATGTCATTGGGGCTCGGAAAGAAACAAAAAATTATTTTCTAAGACTTAGTCTTATTGATTTAACTAAAATATTTTCTTTCAATTTAAACGCATACCCGTAACATTTTCATTCAAGTTCTAATTGTTTTTCGAACACATTTTTGAGTATGACCCTTCGTATACTGGAATATGGCAGATCCTATGATTTTCTGTACTTGTATTTTTCTTTCTGATAGATGTTTTCCTAAGTTTAGGAAATGAAACTAGTCAAAAGTTGAAAAATCTGGCAAATTTTGTTGGTGTGACAAAACATTTACTTTCTGTTTATCCCCAAGACTCCTCTACTCTTCATGTCCTGTTGGTTTTGCCGCCGTCATGAAGACATTTAATGCAGTGTATTCCTCATTCTGTTTCCTTCCTCTCTGAAACCTTTCAATTTTTTTTTGCCAAAAAATTGTTTTCTAGACTCCTCCAGATATTTGAACTTTCTCCCCGAATATGAATTTGAAGAACAAGACCGCTAATATTTCAGAAAATAGCATATAAAATTGTTTTATGCTCCTGCAATTCTTTGCTTTTCTTAGGCCTTTGAAGTTTTGTTAAGTGCATCTTATTGTTAATTTGTTTTGAGGGATTAAAGCAAAATGTATTCAAGTTTCATTATCTGTTAGAATTTCACACAAACGTGGATAAGTACAATTTTTGATTTTTTAAAAGAATTGTTTGGATATTCCTACACGCTGTCGTTTTCACTCATTTTTAGGTCACCAGAGTAAACACAGGTGACCTATTGCTATCCGTTTTCGTCCGTCGTCGTCCGTCGTTCGTCGTGTGTTAACATTTGAACACTTTCAGCTTCTTCTCTGCAACCACTGAATCAATTTCAACCAAATTTGGCACAAAGCATCTATGGGTAAAGGGGAACAAAAATTGTGAATTTCATGATCCCTGCCCCCCTGGGGCCTGAGGGGTGGGGCCAAAACCACTAAAATTAATGCAATCTTTAAAAATCTTCTTTTTTACTCCTGGACATGGAGCAGTCAAACTGTTTGCATGATTGTAATCAGCATTGAGTCCTTTACCAAAATTGTGAAATTCATGGCCCTGAGGTCAGGGGTTCTAGTGCTAGGGCGGGGCTAAATAAGTATATAGTGAAAATGCATTATTTCTTTGGAAATCTTCTTCTCTACTCCTGGGTATTAAATAAACCAATTAAGTACATAGTTATGATGAGCAAGAATGCCTCTACCAAAATTGTGAATTTTATGGCCCCAGGGTCAGGGGTTCTGGTGTTAGGGCGGGGTTCTATTGATTATATATAGTGAAAATACATGATTTCTTTGAAAATCTTCTTCTCTACCCCTGGGTATTAAATATACTAACTAAGTGCATAGTTATAATGAGCATGAGTGCCTCTACCAAAATTGTGAATTTTATGGCCCCAGGGTCAAGGGTTCTGGTGTTAGGGCGGGGCTCTTTTGATTATATATAGTGAAGATACATGATTTCTTTGAAAATCTTCTTCTCTGCCCCTGGGTATTAAATATACTAACTAAGTGCATAGTTATGATGAGCATGAGTGCCTCAACCAAAATTGTGAATTTTATGGCCCCAGGGTCAAGGGTTCTGGTGTTAGGGCGGGGCTCTATAGATTATATATAGTAAAAATACACGAATTCTTTGAAAATCTTCTTCTCTGCTCCTAGGTATTAAATAAGCTAACTAAGTGCATAGTTATGATGAGCAAGAGTGCTTTTACCAAAATTGTGAATTTTATGGTCCCAGGGTCAGGGTTTATGGTGTTAGGGCAGGGCTCTATTGATTATATATTGAAAATACATGAATTCTTTGAAAATCTTCTTCTCTGCTCCTAGGAATTAAATAAACTAAGTACATAGTTATGATGAGCAAGAATACCCCTTTTAAAATTATGAATTTTATGACCCCAGGGTCAGGGATTCTGGTGTTAGGGGGCGGGGCTCAATTGATTATATAATGAAAATACATTAAATCTTTGAAATTTTTTTTCTTTGTCTCTGGGTATAAAGCAGATGAACTACCTTTATAGTTATGATGAGCAAGGGCCCTAATCTTGCAGAATTGTGAATTTCAAAGCCCCAGGGTCAGGGATGGGGGGGGGGCTCTACTTATATACTGAAAATGAATTTATTGTTTGAAATCTGCTCTTTTGTATTTATAAAACATTTATTTATTTTTTTATATTAAGGGTGCCTTTTTGAAATTTTTGCAATGTGTGGACCTAGGGTCAGGGGTTTATGTCACAGTGTTAGGGGCACTACTGGTTAGTTGGAATGCATTTTTGTTCCCCTACCCTGCATATAGGTATTCAGTAACCAAGCTAAGCAACTGCTAAGTGTATTGTTATGATGATCAATGGTGCCTCTTTCAAAATTGTGAATGTCATATAGCATCTGGCTTAAAACATGAATCAAATTCAATAACTGGAAAATTGTTGCATAATGCTCAGGTGACTTATAAGGCCTCTTGTTCGAAATATAGGGTGACTTTTGAATATTAAACTTTTTTACTATAAAATGTTTATTTAAAACAGTATGAACTATCCCCAAAATGATTTTTATCAAATTTGCTATGTATCGTAAAGTCAATGAAACATAATCAGTTATAATTTGTTGAAATTTCGCAAATTAACATCGGTTGTTGTAAGTCATTGTTGCCAAGGACGGTACCCATTTTTGATGCCCATTATATAATTTTTGTTTATTGAAATCTACATGTCCACCTGTCTTTAAAACAGGCATTGGTTGCTGTAATTTTCACATATTTTAGTTAATATATTTTGGAATATTAACAAGTTTTACAGCTGCTTTCATGAAGCGTTTAATTTTACTCTAGTTTACTGATTCTTGACCATTCTTTTTTAATGCAGTGTCTCGAATAGCCCTTGTTTTCATGCTTCCCACGATGAAATAATGCGATGAAAAGTGGTCACTCAAACTGTTATCAATTCATTTAAGATTCAATAATAAGAGAAAGTCAAGCTTTATGTCATATGACTACTATGTTGTATGCTATTGAGCTAAAGATATTATTTATTGAACGTCCCTCGTAACAATGCAAGTGAAACAATTTTAAAACAATTCGATTTAATTGCTGAAAACTTAATCGCATTTTTAGAGAGGCCCATATTTGGGGTTATCGGGTCATCAGTACATGTATTTCCCCGTTCTTTCAACTTTTGGTATTTTAGTCGATTCCTTGGGACTTCCTTTTCCGTTAGAGAACGAAGAAGAGCAGACATACATGTATCCTGCATCTCACGTTGTAAATTTGTTTATTTTTTATACCGTGTTAAAAAAAATTACACCATTTATGAATTGTTTTTATAAATAAAAATGAATGTGTGTTAGGTGTCATTTTTCTGCTGCTTGATTTTTTTTCTATTTTCAGCCCTTGTACATCTCTTAGTTCAATACCTAACTTCGTCATGGCACACTGCATGGCTGTAACCTCCGATGGCTGTTGCTGTATCCAACTGTTATCGTACCATCACCCATGAAGTTACAATTCCTAAGATGCGTTCCACAATCTGTCGCTGGACTTTAATAGTGATTTATATGTGTGGTGAGTACCTGACCCCAGGGCTCACTATTGCCTTACATGTACATGTAAATGATTTTCGTACGATTCCCAATTTGTATATAATGTATGGAATAAGAACTATGCAATCATTAGCTGAACTTAAATAGGGTTATATATTTAGTGAGTATCTGTTCCCAGGGCTCGCTACAACTGTAAATAATTTTTTTTTTCAATATGTGTGAAATTTCAATTTGCTTATTTGTGTCAGACTGGATGAAACATTTTCAATGTATTATTTGCCAGTAGGTTGATTAACAGCTTCATTTGTATATAAATTTGCCTATTTCATATTCATTTCTACATTTGCCTATTTCTTGTGGATTTTCATTTACATGTATTTTCCTTTTGGGTTGCCAAAGTCGCCCAATGTATTTGGGTCGGTAACCTTGATTGCGATTGTAACCAGTAACTAACTGTAATTGTTTGTACATATTGTGACTGAAAATTGTAGTTCTGCCATGGCCATTATTCGCCATTAAACATAACGAAATTTATATCTGTGTGGTTTTTCTCAAACAATATCGTTTACAAAGCTAAAATAAATCAGTGTTGTTTGTGTACGAGGGTTGTCCCAGAATTTGGTAGACTGAGCTCATATCTTTTAAAGAAATTTATGTATCTTTCAGTAAATTTTCAGGATGGATAAAGCGTGTTCTTGGCAGATAAATTACAAAATTTTATCATGTTTACTTGAAAACTTTTTGAGTTGTAACATTTAAAGTGATATCGTTCTCTAACACCCGGAGCAATCTGCAACGTCAAAAAATACAAATGTCAACGTTTCAAATTTTGGGAGAAAATATTTCAATTACCAGAACCAAATTCTTAAATTAAACAAAACGGTTATAGTTATAAAATAATTTGAAATATCTTAATTACTATGATATGTTAACATATGGTACATATTAAAATATGTAAACAAAGTATATG